CTCTCTCTCTCTCTCTCTCTCTCTCTCTCTCTCTCTCTCTCTCTCTCTCTCCCTCTCTTTGTGGTACCAGGGATCAAACTCAGGACCATGTACTTGCCAGGCAAGTGCTTATTCCACTGAGCTATTTCCCTGGCCCTCAAAATACAGAAGTCTTACTCATCACTAAGCATTACACATTCAGTTCCCTGCTGTGTCTGACATTGTGGATACTACCAAGTCTTATATAATACTATGTTCTTTCCCATTCATACATAGGAAAATTTTATCTTTTTATTCAAATGAAGTTCTTTTCCATCTATGAATTCTAGCATCACTACTCTTTGGGGTCTTAATTAAGTAAAATAATGTGTTTACCAGAAGGTGAACTCAGTATATCTTTTCTTTTTTCTGTGGTGCTGGAGATCGAATCCATGGCATTGAGCCTATAAGGCAAACACTTTAGCACTGTGTTATTTCCTAGTCCTTGGCTACAATATTCTTATTGCATCATAATTTTCCTTCTACGTCTCTTAAATATGTTACCTTCTTGTCTTTAGTTTGTTTTATTTGGAGAAACTTTCTCCATTTACACTTGCTTGAGTAGTGTTATTGATTGTCTGTCCCTTTGTTATAACATTGACACAAGACAGTCATCAAATAAGAATATTTATGACATCATGGCAGTATCGTCTCTTACTTGTTTTATACACACAGATTGAGATTTTCCTGAGTATAAATTTAGATTCCTGAGAGGATTTGCTGAATAGAATGTTGCAGGATTTTGAGCATTGTTAAAATGTTGTATAATGTTCACATTTTGGTTTTGAAAGGCAATCCGTTTTGAAGCTTTCCTATCTCTTTGCTACTCAGACTTGGCCATGACCTTGGACTCTATCCTGCATACGTAACAGCTGATGCCTCTCTGAAACTAAGTGGTCTTCTTTTTTATCATATCTCCCAAAGTCTTTGACCTTCTAGACAGGACCATATCCAAATAGGGTCAGTTTGGACGTGATTCCGGGTAATTCAAAGTAAATCAATGGGTGTATTTTCCTTAGCGCCTTCCTCACAGTAAGCTTATTACATTCCAATTCTTTAATACTCTTGGTAGGTTAGAACCTTCACCCTCACTCCAATGCTCACTTGCTTTTGGCTTCCAGCTTGGGTTAAATTACAAGAATAATTATGCTAATCTTGGCATCTTGGACTCGAGCTGGGGCAAAACCACAAAAACTTCTTTTTCAACATCAGAAGTCCTCAACAGACCAAGTAGCCCTGCAAAAATAAGCTCACCCTCAGTTATTCCAGCCCACAAACACCTTCCCCTAAAAGTCCTATAAAATACCCTGTTCCCTTATGTTCAGGGTTGTCTTGTGCTTGCTCCTACCTCCAGTAAGTCTTCTCATGTCAGAATGCCTGGTCTGGTCGATTGGGTGGGTTCCTATCTAACAACACTTACTTTTTTCAGAATAGAAAACTTCAATTTTGGTTTCCCAACCTTCCTTTGTACTTTTACATCTGTGTCCTGGGCCCTGGGAGGAAAAGAGAGGGAAAAAAACAGGGCTGCACAAGTTAGTCTCACCCTGTTAGAACCACAGCAGAACTGAAAAGGCAGGCAGGATTCCCTTTGGAAATTTTTACTCATTTTGTGTGTGTGTGTGGGGGGGCATACTAGGGATTGAATTCAGGACCTTATGCTTTCCAGGCAGGTGCTTGTGCTACTGAGCTATCTTCCTGGCCCAGAAATTTTGACTCTCGATGGCTTCTATTACCTAAGTCTGCTACAATTCAGAGGTGTGATAGAAGAAATAAAAGGTAGAAAGGAAAGAAGGAAATTATAGCTAGAAACTATGCTGTGTAAGAAGACTGTGATTAGGGCTACAAGGATAACCAACATTGTGGCCCTAGCCTTCATGGTAAGGGAGGACTCAGGACATCAGAGAACCTGTACTGTAACATCCTGTAATTCAGTGATTTCCCAAATTTTCTGATCAAAGAGATTATGGGGCCAAAGAGGAAAGTGATTGATGATGTAGAGTGTGCCTAAGGAGAGTCACATGGAGAGAAAACATTCTCAGGCTTTCATAGAGAGCAAATTGGTCAAGCAATGACCGTGACTCATCCACATGGCTGACACTGTGAAAAGATCTACAAACTGCTGTACAGGGTTTCAGGGTAATTCCTGAGGGGATTTAACTGACCTTGTCAGACACAAAAATTACATTTTTTGTTATTGTTTTATCTTGGTCTTAACCATCCAACAGAAAAGCATAAATATTAGGTAGTATAGCCATATTAATATGCTGAGCTGGATCGATGACGTAGAGTGGGCCTAAGGAGAGTCACATGGGGAGAAGACACTCTCTCAGGCTTTCACAGAGAACACATTCTACAATCTGAGGTACAGGATCTCAGGACAAATCCTGAGGGCATTTCACTGACCTTCTCAGACCAAAAAGCTACAACTCTTGTTGCATAGGTCCTGCT